GGTCCACAGATTAACGTGCACGAAGGCCAATTGAAAGGAAAACAGTTCTTGTCGAGAAATGGACGGAATTTTTTTGCATTTCAAGGAATACCGTATGCAAAACCACCTGTGGGACAGCTCCGATTTAAGGTATTTATAAAACGTCTGTACTATAATATTAAATTGGGTTATAGTTTCTTATACGTAAACGTTTAGGCCCCGGAACCAATTAGTCCCTGGAAAGGCGTATTGAATGCCACATCGGAGCCGTCGATGTGTATTCAAAAGAATCTTTTCATGTACCAGACATCTGATGTCCTCTTGGGCAGTGAAGACTGTCTATATTTAAACGTCTATACACCTAAGGTATATATTTATATTAATGTGATAGATAAATCAATAATCAACTGTATTATTATTAGTATTATAATTTTCTCTATTATAATATAATATGCTAAATAGCTACCAAAAACAGGTGTGAAAAATTTACCTGTCATGGTATGGATCCCAGGAGGAGGGTTTAGCTCGGGGCATGGTGGTATGCGACTTTATGGCCCTAAGTATCTAATGGATAAGGACATTGTTTTGGTTACAATCAATTACAGGATCGGCCTTCTCGGTAAGAACGTTTAATTGTGTGTGAACTTTTTGAAGTATCTATGTTATTCATATTTACAGGTTTTTTGAGCGCTGAAGATGATATATTACCGGGAAATTATGGTTTGAAAGATCAAGTATTAGCACTCCGTTGGGTACAAGATAATATCGCCAAATTTGGAGGCGATAGTAAAAAAGTTACATTGTTTGGTGAGAGTGCAGGAGGGGCGAGTGTGGGTTTGCATTTACTGTCACCATTAAGTAAAGGTATGCTTACTTCAACGTTTTTATAAACTTCAACAATACCGCCAACCATATACTTAGATAGAATAAAATATAAATAATACTAAATAGTAAATTGCAATCTCCTTAATCGTTATATGTAGGACTGTTTCATAAAGCAATTTTACAAAGTGGAAGTCCTTTTTGTCAATGGGCGGTCTTGCCACCGGGCTTAGCTGAGCGGCGTGCCAAAGCTGTGGCTACAATAACTGGATGTCCCTCCAATTCAAAAGATATGATTGACTGTTTAAGGGCCTTACCCGCCGATACTTTTGTGCAATTAAATAGAAATTTTTTCGTAAGTTAAACTTAGTTGTAATAATAGAGGATAGTAATTGTTTCAATTATAAAGGCAACACGAAATTAGATCCAATTATTGCAGTATTTAGCATGAGTACATTTTACAATTATTTTATTCAGGAATGGGAAGTTCATCCATCAGTCACCTTTTCAGCTGTTGTTGAAAAATGCCACGAGAAAAAAGATTCGTTTTTATGCAATTATCCTTTAAAATATTATAAACAAGAATCACTCGTGCCGATTATAATTGGAATGAATTCTGGAGAAGGTGGATTTTTTGCATCCCGTAAGTAAAATATTAAAATTCACATTTTTTTTGGCTGTACAAACGTGTGAAATCAGCTCAACATCGAAAATAGACTAACTCCCAGGTGAGCCATGAGCAGAACCTCCGTCTATAATATCTATACTCTATTCTAATATAACTTATATCATTAGATATTAAAATATATCTCAATATTGTAATTACATTTTCCTGTACTGGGATAATATCACTTAAAATTGTATTAATCTAATATTTACCTAAAGACACCTATTACAGTTATTTAGTTGGAAAAAGTTGTTACTTATTCGTATAAAATCTTGAGAGATAATTTACTTACAAATCACAATAAGAATTTCAAAACAATAAAGCCATATAAAAATAATAATTGATATTTAAAAAAATAAATAATTTATGTTTTTCCCATGTCCAAAAATGTGAAGAGTTAAAATGTACAGAGTAACTTGTAATTAGGTATGTAAAAAATACAGTATTTTGGTATACAGTTTTTTCAAATCTGTTTTAGACATCATATCTCATGTTTATTATTTTATTTTACGATATAATATAGGGTTGTATAATGAAAATGGTCTTATCTACCCTGAATTTAAAGAAAACTTCAGACGAATAGTGCCACTAATGCTGCTTTACCATTTTTCCGCTTCATACAAAGACGTTGGTTTTATTAGTGACAAATTGAAAGAGCATTACTTTCCTGAAGGGACTTCGATCGAAGAAAATCCTAAAAAGACGGTCGATGTTAGTAATATTTATAATAATTATAATATATTATGACTAATTCTTATATTATGCTGACCATTTTTAGTCGTTTATTCCTAAACGTATTTATTTATATTTATTTCAGATGGTCACTGGTGGTATATTCTTAAAAGGGGTTATTGACATGGCCAATCATGTAATGTCACCTGTACACTTTTATGTATACGATTATGTAAACAAGCATTCATTAAATACATTCTTCGGACCATGTCCAAAACATTTAGGTGTCACTCACGGCGATGAAATGTTTAGCCTTTTCGATTTAGGTAAGCGGTTAAACACACAAGACGAGAATGTGTCTAAACTTATGGTAGACATTTGGACGAACTTCGCCAGCTCTGAGTAAGGTTTATTTGATCTGTCGTATATGCAGTTTTCAGTAATGATTAACAATTTATTTTAACCCAATTAATTTATTTTACAACTCTTGGTTTATTAACACACATAACACACGTAATAACCACAGTACACACAGTACACATTAGTAACTACACAATTCAAATTATGAATCTAAGTATTTAAAATTGGGACTTAAATTTTACACATTTAATTTTTTTTACAATATGTCTTACATTATTTTTCTCAAGTATATATATTTTACAACTGATATTATAATGACCTCTACAGCATGGGCCTAAATTGGGTTTTGGGGCTTAGCCTCCCACAAAAAAAACTGAAGTTCCCCAAAATTTTCCTGATTAAATCTCGTAAATATAATTAGTCAAGTTAATGTGTTAATTGATATTTCTAGCCTCCCCCACGATTTTTTACCATATTTACGCCTAGGCCCTATAACCTATATAATAAGTACCTAGTACTTACCTAATATTTACTAAGTAAACTCTTAATAATTAATATATTTAATATTATTCAAAATAATATATTTCTTATCATATACCTCGTTCCTCTATAATATATTATAGTTGAGTCTATACAATTTTTAATTGTCTCTGATTATATAATAATTGTGTCAATTACTAACTTATTGATAATTATCAGATTTAGATGTCATTAATGATCTTCTAGATTTGTTTTATTTTCATTAGATTTATTTTAAATTATAACAAAGCTAATAAATATCCAAACGACCAAACAGGATAGTGATGTGTAAATGTAAAAGTAAATCTATTTGTTTGAATTTATTGTTTTTAGTAAGTTGACTATTGACGGAAAAAGTACAGGAAATACTTGGCCGAGGTATAACAAAAAGGACATGAAATATTTATTGATAAATTCATCCACGCCTGTTTTGTCCGAAAGACCGTTTATGGAAGAGTACAACTTTTGGAGTGGACTACCATTGACACCTAATGGCAGCTACAGTCGAGAGCATTCCAGAACGGAACTTTAAATGTGCATAGTGTATAGTGTAAGCTTCTGTAATTAATTACCTGTAATTATTCTAAAAACGCATGTTAGAGTAAATAATTATTTAAGTTATTACATGGTTTGTTTTTTTTTAAGTTACTATTTTAGGTGAAAAAATATATTACTATTTTTATACGTTTTTTGTAGACTAATAATATTGCCAAAACCAATTTTTAAGTTGATATTATTTGTCTTGTTGTATAAAAATATAAAACGATGCCAACAATAATTGTTAATATAAAACTATTTTCAGGTATTATATAATATTAGTATGAGGAAAATATTTTTTTTTAATTTTGAGCTAATATGTATATATATGAAAACGAAAAAACTTTTAGTATAAAATGTCTTCAAGTATCCGAAATTAAATTTGATGAACGTCTAATATATAACTAAGAAGATGGTTTAATATAGGAAGTTGGATGACGTTCTCATTAAACACGTGTTAAGGTTTTTTCATTCAGAAACTGTGAGCGCCACTATATTCTAACAACACATTTTCTAATTTATAGTACTCTATTAATATCGATAATATATAATATTTTAGTCAGCTTATACTTATCTCGTCCGCTGCTATTCATTTATTGTATTTTAAATAAATTATTGGTTAATGATTTAATTAAAGTAAACAGAAATAATAATTTCGAAAAAGTTAAGGATGTAACAATAACAGTAATAAAAATAGTAATACTTTCCAAACTTAATAGTTCAGGTTATAAATAAATTACAAATCTATGTTTAGAATGTTGTTTATCTATCAAAAAATTGAAAAGTGTGTAAACATTTTCTTTTAATAGGATTGTGACAAATAAAAAATAATAAATAGAAATTAGTCTAACTATAAGTTAACGTAAGTCATATTTTACTTATTTAAGTATTACACATTAAATCAACAATATTAGGTAATGATTATTAATATATCATACAATTACGATACCTAGTAATAATATTATACATACTTAGCTTCTCATAATATGGAAATAGGTACACATTATGTAAACAAAATTTTTTTTATTTATTGAACAAAATGTTTCAACGGTAATGATTATTAGGGTACAGTTATTTAATTGATAAACAATTTAATTTTGTTTTTTATTGACGTCTAAATACTTCTTTGTATAATCATATTGCCATTAAGTACCTATAAACTTTTAAATAATTGTGTATATTTATTTATTAAACACACAGTATTAATTAATTATTACTAAGGGTTGTTAGAATATTTTTTAACATGTATATAATAATAATATTATATAATATATTGTATTTTACTTGGCTTTTACCCCAGCGAAGAAGGTGAAAAATTGTTGGAAAATATGTTAGTGCTATTTAATCCGTACTAAAAATAAAGTTAATTTATTATTGTCTCCACCTATGTTTTTTTAAGTGAATTATATATTTTAGAATCTAATATTATAGCACACATACAGCATAATATTATACTACCATCCAACATGCTTTGAAAGATTAAAAAATAACTTTATAGGTGATCACGTCACTATAGACATATTTTTACGTTGAACCGGATTTCTTCAACCCGAAAATCAAAACTATAAACGTGTTTGTGCCAAAATGTTCAATTACCCGGTGAGATAAAATGCAGTATGTCTGTTATGTTTTTGCCAAAATCACTTTCGTTTAGCTACAAATAACTGAAGAATGCTCGCCATTTAAATACCCTGGCTGCAGTTCGTAGTCAAATTATAGACTTTCGAATAAAATGTACAGTGTATCAGACTCTCGTCATTATACGAAATGCGAGTTACAAGTGCGTTAACGATGAGTTATGGTCGTTGAATCATTCAAATCGGTCCGAAGTGATTTTATGAATAAAAACCACTCGAACTAAGAAATCGTGTATTTTTTCTTGGCTCCGTGTGTACTTCGTTTACGACCAGCGCCAGGATCGATCAACTGCTGAACTGTACTATAATGTCTGGATGGTGGAAAATAATATTCTAAACATTGTGCCGTAGCTCGTGTCGAGGAGTATGATGAATAAAAAAAAATCCATTTTATGAGATTTTATAATCGCTCGTGTGTTACGTAGGCGCCGGGCGCCGAGCGGAGTTTCGTAAGGTTTCGTGACGTTTGCGAAAAAATAGAAACATCATAAACCACGTGGGTTCTCTTGCATCGCCGGTGACGATTTTGCGCGGAATTTCTTGGCAGCCTGTTTCTATTTAAATACTTCAATTCCGTCAGTTGAGCGCTCATTATATAGTGCTATAGTGTTGGGATGATACACTAGGTACACGACTAATTATTATTAATATTTGTATTAACAATTTCACGTCACCATGTCGTTTCTGGATATCGTTTCGAAGTTCAACCAACAAGCCGACAGCCATTCGAAATCGCAGTCTTTGAACCCGTTTTCGGAGCAGTTCGAACAGTCACGATCGCCGTCGCCTCGATTTTCCCGGGAAGAATACGGAAAGTGAGTACACCGCGCACAAACGCATAATATACATTTACAAAAATATTTCATGCTTTATTTCATAATAAAATCGAGCTCAGTGCGTTTCAATTGTATCACATTGATGTTGTGTTCCGTACAGGCCTGTAGCGGGCTCTAAGACAGATCTCAGGGGGCGCAGAGCAAAGTCGCACGTTTGCCGAGAGATCTTGGAACTGTGCACCGTCATACACGATGTCGGCACCTACAACACGAAAAAGAGAGATCCCGACGACGAGGACCAACAGATCGACGACGGTACAATTATCGTCAGTTTTGGTGAACTCTTTCAGGTGAGTACCGGTGCTACTAAAATAAAATATAGTGTACCGCTGGGCGATGTCGATTTTTTTCCCGTCGTAAATCAAACCATTCGCGATTTTTTTTTTTTAAGAAATAAATATATTAGGTATGATCATTCGGTCGAGTAAAATATTCGATTGTCCTCTCCAATAATATATTCTCCGACTAATATGCACATTGATGATTGATTGATTCCACGCTCTCAAATGCATCTGCAGTAATGCCTGCGTGTATATTCAATAATAATAATAATAATAATAATAATAATAATAATAATTGTAATAATAAAGTCGATACAGATTGTGCGGAACGTGTGTGATGAAATGTTCTAAAAATGTGTATGTATTTTTTTTCTTTCAGATTTACACGAAAATATCGGACAAAGTAGTGGGTCTGTTGATAGCGGCCAAACGCCGCGGTTTCGTGTATTTCGATCGGGAAATACTTTTCCAAGTAAGTACCTATCTGCGTCGCAGATACGATCGCGAATACGTGCGCGTTTGTGAATGGGCCTAAAAAAAAAAGATGAAAAAGTAAATAGGATTTGATCGTAAATTCACTAAAACGGCCGTGTCCACCTTGAATACAGAAATAGATCGATGGCCGGTGATGATTAAGCCGGAGCGTCCCCTGGCACATGGCCACCGGCATTCCTCGACAAAACAAAATAAATGCGGATTCCGCACGGTCCCAATGTCAGTAGTAATCGTTTACAAATTATAATACAAACGCAATAAATTTCCACACGATTCCGACCTACATAAGTCAGCGCTCGGTCACACGTGATTCTCCTTATATTATTATAATGTATATACTCATATATAGGTAGGTACGTACTTGCATTTCGTTTCCGAATATACATCGTTGTGTATGGCGTGTCGTTTTTTTAGACATTTTATTGTTGCTCGGTAATGTGAAAACCACCGAGACATGTTTTGGCAACGTCTCGTGAAATTAAAGTTCCGAATCTACGCACTCGTATGCTGTTTTTTATTATTATAATTTTTTTAAAAATTTTTTTTGTCATTTGTCCCTTCCTGTTGTTCCGCGGCGTAGGTGAAAAAACCCTTTTTGACAAAGTTCATCAATCGCGTGTGTGCCATCAGAATTTTTTCTCTGGCTTGCGGCCCGAATTGGATTTTACAGCTAATTATATTGTGATACGTTTTATTTCCGCTAAACCTAGAAATTGCTAAACAAATGATTCAAGCAAATGCCAATTCCATTTTACTGACTCATACGCCATTGTTTATTAAAACCGTGTGCTGTGTCGTAATATTGCTAAATTATTGAAATGTGTGTTGATTATATAGTCAACAACTGCAAGTGCTCTACGTTGTTGTTATTACTTATTACAACAATATCGATAACATACTTGCATATTTACTACATACTATATGGCAAACGTCTATATATAGAGTAATGTTCTTTGTTTGTCGGTGTTATGATAATTATAGCTAGTGACTTGAATAATTATTTTTCTAAATGCATACTGTTTTTATTTTAGAGAAGAGATGACGATGTACTTATTGCTCTGCTAAAGCCCATTTCCGAAATCAGCAAAATATTAAAAGAGGACATAAATCAAGCAAACTCGTTGGCACCTGTGGAGTCGAAGCCAGTGGAGAAAAAAAAATCACCTTCATCCAGTAAAACGAAACGAGTAAAACCTGATGATAAAAAAGAGCCAAACGAAATATCAACTAATCATTTGACGATCGATGACCAACCAAATGTCATATCATCAGAAGTTACAAATGGCAATGCACTCGTCGTAGAAATTGGAATCAACGACGACCGTAAACCGAATTGTGACGAACTAATAGACGTCAAAGTGTTTGACGTCGAAAACATTGGGAAGGACGATGACGATCATAAAGCAAACTGTAACGAACAAGTCGACGATAAATTCGTTGAAGGAGAATTAGTTAATAATGTTATTGCAATTTCAGAAAATATGGAGAACCAATGTAATCAAGTAGAAGATAACATATCGGAAGGAGTTAACGGTTTAATTATTGATGACGAAACTGAGACGAAAGACATCGATGGTTCCGTTGATGCGATTGTTGAAAACAAAAGCGAAATCTACGATTTGGCAGCGGACGACAATAGCGGCGTAGAGGGGGTGGAAGTCGAAAATTTTCAAAGCGAAACGTACGTTGAGATTAATAAAACTCATACGAACGACGGTCAAGTAGACGTGACAGAAGAAAGTACAAACGACATCGTCAACGGTAGCGAAAATAATATCATCAATAAAGAAACAGAACATCACAATATGTGTTTTTAATGAAAACCACCTACAGAATTCGGAACATCCGACTGAGAAATGTCTACTTGGTACATTTCTTATAAAAAAAAATATTCCATAGATAGGTTTAAGATGTAAGACGAAGTTAAAATATGTACTGTAAGAACAGTAGAATATATTATTGAAATGTATAAAAGTACTGCCAACCAATCTTTTGGTACATATTATTGTATAAATTAATGCATATATCATTGTGGTAATTATTTTAATGTCATTCAACGCAATGTTGGTTTATGATTTATGATAATATTATTATTTAGTTAGGGTAAATTTTAAAATCACAATAGAAATACTTACCTACATTTACATTTTACACTGCAGTAGATTAATAATAGTAATATAGTTCATTATTTTTATAAATAATATTTATTTTGTGAGGAAAAATAGATGTGAAGCTATAGTAGAGAGTACCTGTATGAGTAAACGTTTTAAAATCTAGATGCTACAGGTAAAGTTTCCAAATGTCATGCTTAATATTATTGCAATTAAATAGACCTATTTAAATTGAAAAAAAAAATATCGCTTGTTCGCTATGTATTAAAATGCATTCATAATTTATTTTTTAACATGTTGATTAATAGTAATTTTATGTATTGGTTGGGATACGTTTTCATGTATGTTTTATTTCTATTTTGTCACGATATTGTTACTATTAAAATTTCATTTTTATCTTAAGTAACTGTAATTTAAATTTAATACCTACCTATTATGAGTAATTTATTTTATTGTAACTTTACTTTTAGGTATAATTTATTGTAACGAGATATGAAATTTAAAAACATAAGGTAAATTTATGATAACTACATTTTAATAATTATTGTATTTCCAATTGAGTTACCTTAATTATATACATAATGTACATTTTTTATATTATATAATTTTAAAAAAAATATGTACATTTATATATAAATAGTTGTTTGTGTTAATGTCTTTGTTTTGTTATGTAATTTCAAATGATAAATAATACATACATTTTATTATGTAAATTATTTTGTTTAAAATGTGTTCAATCTTTAAAAAAATATTTAGTGTTCCCCGTTAAAATATGTGTTATTTATAGACATTTTATTCGTCGAAAATGTAAAAAATGTAAAGTAGTTGAGACCCAGTGAAAAGAAAAAAAACATTAAGTTCATATTATATAAGTACGTATATACATATATAAGCCAATTTATTATTATTATTTTTGTAATTCTATGTTATTTATTTATATACATGAAAAACGAATTAAAATTATAATTTATTTTGTCTGAATTTAAAATGCTCTTATTAAATGGCAATTAAAAAAAAGTGCTTAACATCTTTTTATATGCATTTCGTTAAGATAATTAGTTTAAAGTGTATAAAAATAATAAAATAATATAATTTATTGTGCGCCCACATAAAACGTTCATATTGAGCTACATTTGGTATTTGTATATTAATGGTCTGTGTAATTACAGTATGTGATTGCAATTGTTTTTATTTTCGCACCCATCTACAGTCTACATGTTATGATAAATGCATTTTTGTGATAAAGTATAAACATTTGTTTGAGACGAATTTTTATTTAAAATGCTATATCATTTTCAATGACGTCTTGTTTAATAGTGTTTTCACTACAAACGTCGAAGGAATATTTCTAAATCAATCGACACCATAGATTTTGAGACTAACGAAACAGACGTACGCCTAAATATAATATTTATTTATTTATCAATTAGAAATCATAGTAAATAAATAAATATGTCGGTAATAAGAACACTCGGGATGTTCACGACGAAAATACGATATATTTGTTTTAAAACAATTTTCATGAAATAAATAAATAAATTTAGCTAAACCTGAATAATAAATAATAAAAATAAAATAAATGCAAACAATAATTTAGTGAAGGTACCTAGGATACAAATCTAAGACCAATTCAATATTTGTTGGACGACAGGCTGGCTGACGAACCGGACGAAGACGACGACGGTGACGGCTGGTAACTGTTGTAGGCCATCGAATGAGCGGAATCGGAGGAATGGCTCGAATAACCCGTGGGCTCCCACGAGCTGGACGACTCGTAACCCGAAGACTGCGGTGGCCCGTACATGGGTGGAGGTCCGGATGTGGACGACGGTTCGGCGGACCCCGGGAATCCGGGCAGGTGCAACGGAAGTCCGGGAATGCCAGACTTCTTCAGGAACTCCTTGAGGAGGAACCCGAGCACCAGCATTATGGCCACCTTGCTGAGCACCAGAGCCTTGGTGGCCTTCATGCTGACGAGGGCCATCATTATGGGCATGAGCATCTTGAGCTTCATCTTCATCATCATCATGAGCGGCATCAGCATTTTGTCTTGCATCATGCCCATTTCCATGTCAGCTACAAACGGTATAAACGCAATATTGAGTTCGGATTGTTTGAGCTTCACTAACGACTGAACGAATTTATGCACAGATCGGATGACCTTGAGAAATTCGACTATACTTAAAATATCCAAACCTCTAGCTGTGGTGGTAGTTGTTCCGGCGGCGGCTGCGGCGGCGGCGGCTGGTGCAGCTTCGTTGTCCATCGCCCGGGCGTCCCGCACCGGTGCGGTCACCGGAAGGCTCGGCTCGTTGACTCGGCGCTCGATGTACGCGCCGGCCGCTCGCACCAGCTCAGCGTCTACGTCACCGTCGGCTTGCACGTCGGCGGCGCGGCCGTCCCGCAAGAACTCCAACACGTTGCCCTTCAGACAGCCCACGGCGCCCGGTCCCAGCGAACACCTGTCCAACACCCTGTCCAGCAGACCGTCGACCGGCCGGTCGGCTACCGCGACCCCGGCCACGGCCAGTGCGACCGCGGCTAGCACCACCACCGAGAGCGACGACACGGACACTGTTGTTCTTCTGCTGTGCATCGTTAACGAATGTTTGGCCACGCCTCTCCGTTCAAGCATTATATACCACCGGCACTGGCCCACTGCCCAACATAACGACGGCCGGCCGGACGACCGGTTGCGGGTGGCGCGTGACAAATACGCTAATCTCTCCGCATTACGGTCGCCGCGCGTCGCCGTCGGAATACTAAGCGGCCGCCGCCGTTCAATGGGCGCGCGCGCGCGGGTCCTGCGTCCTTTTCGGGTTCGCTCCTCGCACAGGACGCGCGATGCAAATGACGGCGGCAAACCGTGACCACAATTAATGAGATTGACGAAAATCGTCTCTCCTCGTCCTGTATTGTTTTTGATACCCGCGAGTATCGTAACGATGCGCACGAAGACTTCGGACGAAAAACTTTGGTTCAAATTCCCGCTGACCGCATTTCGGTCGTTTTCGATTTTCTTTTGAGTTGTCAGTAACAGCTGACTACGGTTCGAGTGCGCAATGAGCATCACTTCAGTTTTTGATGGCCTGAGACGCGATTATCGTCTTCGCCGTGTCCCCGACCCTCTTTTCATTTCAGTAGCAATTTTTTTTTGGTACGCGTAGCATTTGATCTCGTGTGTGGAAAATACAGAACCACGTCCAGAATACAGTAAAAACCACTGAATATAGTTCAACGTTCGTTGCGGAAGCAGCACGAAACCGGTGTGTGATATCTTTCCATTGATCGTGCTTCGAAATATGTATATAATTTGTAATTTACTTGCGACTATTTTATATTTTGAAGTAGAAAATTAGTATTAATATGAATTATTGACAAAAAATCATAATATTATTATTCACATCCGGGAAAACCAGCAAACATAATATACGTAACGTATGCCTGTAAAAAATTGATCGATTGATTGATTATTTTTTAAGATATAAATTATTTGGTGAACCTGAATAGGTACGTTTAGATGCGTTTGAATACAATTTTGTCATACCGACGTTCGATGTCTTACGATTTTTGGAAATCGATCAAAACGTTAATGCAATATCATACATGTCGGATTAACTATCTGTTACACCGAATTGTACTTATTTTACATAGGCCCCAATACGTTAGTGGAGATATGAATTTAAATTATTTTCTTTTGTAATATGATATTTATTTTTTATTTAATACATATACTCTGTTTGAATATTTCGAAAACAATTTTTGACACTCTTTAGTGTATAAAGGAAATAGAATTCATCCTGTATTACCTTATATTCAAGTATTATACAACACCATTGGGTATAGTGGAAATAATTCTATAATGGTATTGCCTATACAATAGACATCATATAATTGTCATGTTAATTACCTATGAATTTAATTTCAAAAATTATATCATAATCGTAAATTGAAGGGAATCAGTTTCGTTCATGATTTTTAAATACTATAGGTAGCTGCTTAGTTTTTAAAATCGTATAAAAAATAGTATGTACCAATTCTTTTATACACTAACATAGAGTGAGATCAATTTTAAATTTATTTTTAGTAAGACTGAAAGACATTAAAAGATAAAATAAGCTGAACTAATACAATACTTCTGTGATATAAAGTTGATAAATATTATTAAAAATATATTTTTAATTTCCATAACTATTGTGTTTTTACTTCGATTATTTTCAAAATTCAAGGGTTACCAATATGGTGTATACTGTAATTTTTTTTCAATATGTGCAATATAGCTTATTGCTTATTGTCATTTATTTCATGAATATTTTAGTATTTTGTACGTCTATGAAATCAATTTTAAGCACATTTAAGTTGTTTAAGCGTTAACAACAATTTTGTATGTAAAACGTATAATAAATCGTAAGATAAAAATCGTACTACATAATACAGGGTGCATAAATAAAATGCATGTAATAACAATAAATAATACCAAATTAAAGATTTAAATTTAAATCATTAAACTGTTCTGGGAAACATAAAAAGAGTTTTAAAATCTAAAGGAATATAAAATAATTAGGTACCTACCTATATTAAAAATTCAATTCATCTAATTTTGGTCATATCGAAGCAATATCCAGATATGTATTGATTTGAGAAATTAGAATAAAAATGTATTTAATATTGATGATTTTACAGAATTTTATAAAATTAATAAATTATTTAAGATTTTCAACACAGCGGAAAATATATAGGTGATCTTATATATTTAAATATAATTTCTTAATAATTT